ACATGCTGGAGAGGTCTTTCAAAGGATCCGATGTCAACACTTGCGCCTACATTTACAAGGCATTCGTGAGGCCAATTCTTGAATTCGCTGGCCCGGTATGGGACACTGTGCTTCTGCGCGATAGAAATCTCGTCGAATCAGTACAGCGTCGGGCTACTCGTATCCCTTTTGGAGCACGAGGACCAAGCTATGAAGATCGCCTTGAATTATTCAACCTGACCTCATTCTCTGAGCGAAGACTTCGTGGCGATCTTATAGTTACGTTCAGGATACTTCATGGTTTGATGGGCACCAACCTCATGCATCTATACCGTCTGTCGCGCAGCAATCTACGCGGACACAGCTTCAAACTGCATAAGGAGCCATTTAAAACAACAGTCCGACAGTGGTTTCTTCCCAACCGCATATTCAACACCTGGAATAGTTTACCTGAACGTGTGGTTGGTGCTACTTCAGTTAATAGCTTCAAAGTGCAGTATGATAGCTGGAGGAGTGTACAAACTTTATAGCTATGAACTGTCTTTTTTTTTATTTTTTTCTATTTGATGTATTTGTGATACGTGTCCGTATTTACTGCATGAGCTTATAGTACTGTGTACTCTGATCATCTCAATTATCATAATAATAATAATAATAATTTTCCATGTAGTGCCATAACATAAAAAGACGTAGGTTTTGTCAGAACCATCAATGCACTATTTGGGCTTTTCATAAAAAATCCTCCGATTGCACCATTGAGCGTGTCCGTATACTGTAGCCTCATTTACACACATCAAAATTGCATAATAAAAGGAATAGTAAAAGATAAAAAAATTTAAGAAATAAGAATGCTATTACACAGATTTTTTGAAGTTCTGGACCACTGCCGTGTAAAATCTTAGCGTTTTCTTGTTTACTACTCTTATCATTTATCTAAATTTGACAAACTTTTTGTGTTATTCTATGGTTTTTAGTACGAGTCTTTGGTTCAATCATATCATGAACTTGATGATCTTCCTTCTCCCCCTGAGAGGAATTGCCGCAGGTGCATATGATCGTTGCGATGACCAATCTCGCGTGAATGACGATGTTGGCCGTCACCATGCACAGTGCACACCGCCCACAGCAGTGCGGAAGCAATTACCGACTGTGACATACGACCACCGACGTCGACGCTTGTCCATCGGGGGACCACCCCACTCTGGGAGATGTTTTCTTATTCTTATTAATTTTAAGGTTCAATGTACATCTATGTTGAGTGAAATATGCCTAATAATATGTGCGTAGAATTGCTGGGGCTGGGGGCTTAAGAAATTGTGATATACCATCCACATAATGAATAAATAATATCTCATTTTCGATCATTTTCGCGTTTACAATACTTTCATGTCAGTACGCGTGGGAAGTAAAAACAACTCAAGTTTTTTTGCAAAACAATATAATCACCCATCCTCAGCTATTATTCATGTTGCATAACAGGCACAACTTAAAAGTAATCATTGTGATATAGGAGTACGGTTCAAAATCTGGTCAGTTGTCACTTCTATTATTTTTAATTTTGACACAACCATAAATCCATTACGACACTCTTGTGCCTCGTATTTAGCGAATGAAAAGCTAATTTACAAATTTTCATTTTTGCATCAGCTCATAAAAGACTATACCTGAGACTACAGTTTTATCATTTTTTATGCTAAGATCAAAGTATTTTATTTAATATACTAAGTGACATATAAACCCGAACACCCAGTGTAAATGGTTTTATTTTAATAAAATTTTGTATAAGTACTTAATGAAGCATAATAAGTAAATGATAAAAAATTCCAAATGATTGCACTGCTTTAAAGCCCTTTGACCTTTAATAATGTGTGGATGCACCCTGATGTGCTACGCATTCTCCAACGCGCCTAGGCATGCTTCTGATCAGGTGGTCAATGTCCTCCTGTGGTATCTCATTCTAGGCAACCACCAACTCCTCTCGAAGTGCTTCTAGAGTCTGAGGAGGACGTTGCAAATTGAGCAATCTCCTACCCATCATATCCCACACGTGCTCAATTGGGGATAAGTCGGGAGATCTTGGTGGCCATGGTAACAATGTGACATCATTATGTTGAAAGAAGTCTATTGTGACTCTTGCAACATGTGGTCGGGCATTATCTTGTTAGAAAGTTGGATCTGCCAGAGTGTCAAGATAGGGTAAAAGATGGGGTTCTAGAACTTCGCTGCGCTGCGCGTTCATGTTACCTCTGATGAAGATTAAAGGTGACCTGGAACCATAAGCTATAGCACCCCAAACCATAACTCCAACATTGTGATGAACATGTCTCAACAAAAAACTGTGGATTCCTCCTTTCACCACGTCGCCTTCTAACCCTGGCACGACCATCGTGCATGCCTAAACAAAATCGAGACTCATCACTAAAGACAATACTGTTCCATTCCTGATCCCAGAGTGACCGTTGTCTGCACTACTCAAGGCGATTACGTCGGTGTTCTCGAGTTAAAGGGAGGACCCAGTGTGGCCGGTATGAAAACAAGCCAAAACTTCTCATTCGTCGGTAAACACTTCGCATGCCAATAGGTCTTCCGTGTTCTGCAAACCATTTATTTGCAATGGACCTGGTAGTGGAGAAACGGTCCCTTAAGGCCAATAATCTTAGGCGGCGATCTTCACGGTCTGTTGTTCTACGGCGGCGTCCAGTGCACCTTGCTCTTTGCGTACGGCCTTCTCGAAGCCATGCCTGACAACACCTAACCACAGTGTCTACACTTCTTTGCACTCTAACTGCAATTGCCCGAAAAGAAAGTCCAGCTTCCCGAAGTCCCACTATACGGCCCCTATCAAACTCACTAAGTTGACGAAATCGTACAGGTCTCCGTACTCTAGGCATCGTAACCGATCGTAAAGGATGTCAAGAACCAAAATTCGCTAACGTTGATTCTTTACTGCGGCTGAAATCTTCATTTTTAGAGCGTTAGTGAATTAAAAAAAAAGCAGTATAAAAACCGGAATGTCCAACTGATAAGGCTGAACATTTTTTCACTTGTTATTTACAGTAAGATAAATACATTCACCAACTTTTATTAAAATAAAACCATTTAAACTGGGTGTTCGGATTTATATGTCACTTAGTATATGTATTGGTTCCTCTGTAACTTGTGACAAATAAGGTCTTTCCGTTGTGTATTTATAATCTACTCGTATTTATGTTACAAGAATTATCAAGTAATATCAAAACTACTTGAATTTTCAAGTACTTGACTAACAGACGTAAACAATGTTTGATATAAGATTGTTCTATACTTGACTTGATTTCAAGTCAAGTGAAGTAGCTTTAAAATCAAGGCAAGTCGTGAATCCCTCCTATATATACTATAAATATAACCTCTCGCAAAATCAAGTAACCTCATTGAATTAAATTCTAAGCGTGATGTTCGTAATCATAGACAATTGGCGCCCACCTTGTGTGTTCATATCTCGTCACAACGCCGCCTGCTACCTGCTTTCAGAAGTCCCTGCGATCCACTATTAAAGATTAATATTTACAACGCCGTGGTGCACGGCAAGTGCGATCAATAGACACGCGATCCGTCTGTCTAAATTTTTTAATATGTCTAATAGAAGCTAGAATTGCCGTGGTCGGAAGAGTATTAATATCATCAAAAAGCTGTGATACACTCTTTTCCCCGCCGTCAATCTTATTCCCCGCTAGAAATTAAAAAAAATGATATGGGTAATCTGAAACGTCAAAGAACAAAGTTCCAACGATTTTCATTTTTTTCGTTTTTCTTCGAGTACATAAGACCGACTTTCAAAAAGTATAATAATAACTTTTAGCGGAAATGTTATCCAAATCCGAGCAGTACTTTCCACGTTGAACTCGAGCCAAGGATTTGCGGACAGAGCGACAGACAGATAGACTGACTGACGGAAATGAGTGGCATCGGTTTTCGTGGTGTACATGTCATATAACACCCGAGAAACATAATACCTCATTCTCGAAATTTTTCGCGATTACAATACTTCCTCACCGGTAGACGTGGGAAGTAAAACACACTGGGACACCAAGCATACACCACTTTTTTATTTAATGGTTGTTATAAAAAATATTTGGTGCTCACTTCAGTATTTGGGCATCAGTATCACTATACATGGTGTTAGGGAAATAATGTTAGTAACTTTAAGGGTGATTCCTTGAATTATTCTAAGCAAAAAAGTTCATTATGACTTATGTCCGAAAATCAATCGTTTTCGAGGAAAGCGAGTCGTAAATAATTAAATTTTCTCAAACATTTGGCAACGCTGCAACGCAACCGCAATACGAGCGCACGACGACCGCAACTGATTCATCGAATTGTTTACGTTTGTATGATATTTTTGTTGAAAATATTCCTTGAATTATTGAATACTTTTACGCAATTTTTGTGGCTAATATTTTTGATTTAATAACGCTTTCAGTATATTTACTTAAAAAAATGGCAGAACTTCCCGGTACGTGGCGATACACACCACTGATTCCCACGATTGTCAGTCACTTATTTGAAACGATGAAATGCAGGAAAAAAGAAGAAACCAACATCCGTAAATCACATAAAATTACAGATAAATGTATTAGTAATCACAACAACACGCGATGATACATTCAGTGCAGGCGGAGTACGACGTTGCCAGTTGTGTGAGGGATTCTGTTTGTTTGTTTTTCTTCGGAAAATTGTATTTAATAAGCAAAAAAATTATTTTGTTAGAGACAGTTAATGAATAAATAGTTGTATTGATACATTTTATGCTATTAGGCATATGAATTTAAATTATTAAGGTGCAAAATTAATTTATTTCATGATTAAAAAGAAATAAGTTTTTTTGCTCCGAAATGGTTGATTTTCGGAAATAGGTTATAATGAACTTTTTTGCTTTCGATCACCTCTTAAAGTTACGAATATTATTTCCCTAACACCCTGTATAATAAAACAACTGCGAGATTTTAGGTAGTTTTTTATAGCCTAAGAAGATGTTGACTTACTTGATGAACGAAGACATCTTGACTGCCGTCGTCTGGTGTGATAAACCCCCACCCTTTGGCCACGTTGAACCATTTGCATTTCCCTCTCCTGCGACCCAGGGCACTCGCTTCAGACTCTACTTGACTTACGCTTCCGCCTTCAGAACCTGCAACAAAATAAGAACTGTCATTTGTAGAAGTTTAAATGTTCAGTAGATATCCCACAGGGATCCATATTAGGACCAATTCCTTATATAGTATATGACACTTCGTTGCTTATAAATGAATCAAAAATTGTTTTCATTTCTCGCGCAAATATATCTGTCAAAATTCGCATCCATTCCGACCTGTGATCAATAATCGATCTTCTATGGTCTATTCTCCAATGTCACTTGTTCTGAGTTGATATTTGACGTCTAGGTATTGTTGGAAAATGGTATTTTGGAAAAACAAATTTCCAGATCCATGATTTTTTTCTGCAGAATTATATACTAAGTGACATATAAATCCGAACACCCAGTTTAAATGGTTTTATTTTAATAAAAGTTGGTGAATGTATTTATCTTACTGTAAGTAACAAGTGAAAAAATTTTCAGCCTTATCAGTTGGACATTCCGGTTTTTATACTGCTTTTTTTTAATTCACTAACGCTCTAAAAATGAATATTTCAGCCGCAGTAAAGAATCAACGTTGGCGGATTTTGGTTCTTGACATCCTTTACGATCGGTTACGATGCCTAGAGTACGGAGACCTGTACGATTTCGTCAACTTAGTGAGTTTGATAGGGGCCGTATAGTGGGACTTCGGGAAGCTGGACATTCTTTTCGGGCAATTGCAGTTAGAGTGCAAAGAAGTGTAGACACTGTGGTTAGGTGTTGTCAGGCATGGCTTCGAGAAGGCCGTACGCAAAGAGCAAGGGGCACTGGACGCCACCGTAGAACAACAGACCGTGAAGATCGCCGCCTAAGATTATTGGCCTTAAGGGACCGTTTCTCCACTACCAGGTCCATTGCAAATGAATGGTTTGTAGAACACGGAAGACCTATTGGCATGCGAAGTGTTTACCGACGAATGAGAAGTTTTGGCTTGTTTTCATACCGGCCACACTGGGTCCTCCCTTTAACTCGAGAACACCGACGTAATCGCCTTGAGTGGTGCAGAAAATGGTCACTCTGGGATCAGGAATGGAACAGTATTGTCTTTAGTGACGAGTCTCGGTTTTGTTTAGGCATGCACGATGGTCGTGCCAGTGTTAGAAGGCGACGTGGTGAAAGGGGGAATCCACAGTTTTTTGTTGAAAGACATGTTCATCACACTGTTGGAGTTATGGTTTGGGGTGCTATAGCTTATGGTTCCAGGTCACCTTTAATCTTCATCAGAGATAACATGAACGCGCAGCGTTATATCCACGAAGTTCTAGAACCCCATCTTTTACCCTATCTTGCACCCTGGCAGATCCAACTTTCCAACAAGATAATGCCCGACCACATGTTGCAAGAGTCACAATAGACTTCTTTCAACATAATGATGTCACATTGTTACCATGGCCACCAAGATCTCCCGACTTATCCCCAATTGAGCACGTGTGGGATATGATGGGTAGGAGATTGCTCAATTTGCAACGTCCTCCTCAGACTCTAGACGCACTTCGAGAGGAGTTGGTGGTTGCCTGGAATGAGATACCACAGGAGGACATTGACCACCTGATCAGAAGCATGCCTAGGCGCGTTGGAGAATGCGTAGCACATCAGGGTGCATCCACACATTATTAAATGTCAAAGGGCTTTAAAGCAGTGCAATCATTTTGAAATTTTTATCATTTACTTATTATGCTTCATTAAGTACTTATACAAAATTTTATTAAAATAAAACCATTTAAACTGGGTGTTCGGATTTATATGTCACTTAGTATAGATCTTCTCTGGTCTTCTCTAACTTTACTTGTTCTGTGTTGATCTGTTGATATTTGTCGTCGAGAAAGAATCACGTATTGTTGTAGAAAGCTCATGACAGAATTTGAAACATCCACCCTGTATGATGATTGATTAAGATGCCTCTATTCCATTCTGCTACGACTAGTTCCAGTTGATAGAACTGTTCTTTTCTATGAAAATTAATAAATTAAATACCCTCATCGTGCTTCGCTAACCATGACCTATTAACAACAGGAAATTCCCCTTCACAGGGCGGCATACCAATACCCGTACTCTGAATATAATTCCATCAAACAAAATAGGTGGAAGCGGCCTTTTATATGAAGTCAATTTTTGTGAGATCCTCTTACACCCAAAGGTATCTTTACCTGCGATGCCTCTTGTGAGTACCGAACTAGAGATTTGCGTAACCTTGTGTACGATTTGCCGCCAAATCTAGGTACCCTTCATAGCCAAGGGCTTAGGTTTAGGGCAGTCACCTTCTAAACAGGGTGCTTTTTTTTTATATCGAAACAGCCGCGCAGGCAGACGCCTAAATGCCGGAACACCGCGGCTGCTATGATGATTTTTGAACTGCCTAAGGTCAGTAGAACTGGGAAAAGCTTCCTCCCGTAGATTGTTCCACAATCTAGACACCCTCGGGACAAAGGAGCGGTCGTATCGGCCAGTTCTGGATGTACGAAGTTTGACACGGTTAGGATGGGACGCCGAAGTCAGGCGGGTCTGTCTGGCAGGCACATCGCGCGGCGGCATCATAGAAGAGAGCTCTGAGGAGCAAAGCCCGTTGATGTAGCGATAGAAAAGAGCTAGATCGCCGACGGCCCGTCGGTGCGAAACAGTCCCGAGACTGTCTGTTAGAGAAGAGTCATCGATCAGTCGGACCGCCCTCCTCTGGACAGCATCGAGCATGGACAATGTAGTCGGGGCGGCAGCACCCCAAATGTGTGAGCAATACTCGACGCTAGGCCTTATCTGGGCCTTGTATAGAGTGAGAAGGTCATGCGGAGAAAAGTACTTCTTAGCCCTAAACAAATAGCCTAGCTTCTTCCCAGCAGCTGCAGCCGTTGAAGAGATGTGTTCGTGCCAGATCAGGTCCTCGGTGATCTGGACTCCGACCAGCCGAAATGAATGGCTCTTTGGTAGAACTCGACCGTCCATCGAAACTGTATGAGCGCTAGGACGCTTTTTGTTCGTCAAAGTACAGTACTGTGTTTTGGAAGCATTGAACTGTACAAGATTGTTGCGTCCCCAAGCAGTGATAGCCTCCAGGTCTCTTGTCAGAGAAGAAGTCGTCGCTAGTCTTCTTTTTTCCAGCTCAGCGGCAGAGATCGGCTTGTCACTCCGAATTCCTGCATTTAGAGTGCTGTCATCAGCGAAGCTGTGGATTGGGTTGATCGTGCAGGAAAGGAGGTCGTTGATATGTAAGAGAAACAGTGTTGGAGCCAAGACCGATCCCTGGGGAACGTTGTGGGATGAAGACGAGAGCAACGACATGAGCCTCACCATGAGACTGGATGAGTTTACTCCACAGTTGCGTGACGTAAGCTAGGAGGTCCCCTGTGGATCGTTGGTGCCGGAAACCGTACTGCCTGTCGCTAATCAAGCTGTGACGTTCGAGGTAGTCCAGAAGCTCGCGATTTATGCACCTCTCCATCACTTTACTTATAACAGAAAGCAGAGCTATAGGCCTGTAGTTGTAAGGGTCGGTTTTAGATCCTTTTTTTGGGATGGGCTGTACATGAGCAAATTTCCAGTTTTCTGGGAAGGTGCCGGATTCATAAGATATCTGGAAGAGACGCGAAAGAACTGGAGCAAGCTCCGCTGCACATCTCTTCAGTACAATGGCAGGAATCAAGTCCGGACCAGAAGCTTTGTTGATGTCGAGCGACAAGAGCACTCGTCTTACGGTCTTATGCCTGAATGTTACCTCCCGCATAGTGTGGGGAACCCTTTGAATTGACGGCACTTAGGCGTTGGTGGGGACGTCCATGGTGGAGTTGGCAGCAAAGATCTTGGCTAGCACTTCCGCCTTGGCCTTTGGGTCGAATACAATAGTTCCATCCTGACACGTAAGTGGTGGAAGGCTACTGTGTGAGAAGTTCTTTTCAATCTGCTTGGCCAGCGTCCAGAAAGACCGACTGCCATTGCGCTGCGACATTACCCTGTGCCTAACTTTTATATCATGCTGGTTTTTGGCATTGCGAACCGCTTCGTTATATTTGTTTCTGGACTCGACGTCGGCTTGTCTGTTCTCTACAGTGGGGTTTTGTAAGTAGGTTCTGTGGGCCTTGATCTTCTGCTGGCGAGCAGTGTCACACGATTTGTTGAACCAGCCGTTGGACCCTGGTTTAGGAACTTTCACTGTGTGAGGGATGTATTCCTCCATTCCGACGTGGATAATTTCGGTTATTGAAGAACAGACAGTCGACGCATCCGCGTCAGTGAAACAGACATCTCTCCAAGGAAAGCTAGAGAAGAAGTAATGCCAAGTTTTGCAGCCTGTGCGAGTTTCTGCTGCCACAGCGGCTTCTGACCGAAACCTAACCTCCACAACACCGTGATCTGAGTTACCCAGGGGGGACAGGACAGCAGTGCTGTAAGGGGCAGGATGCGTGGTCAGAAAGAGATCCAGCAGGCTACTGGCGTGTGACGAGACGCGGGGGAAAAAAGTAGGGCTCGTCACCAGCTGGGTCAGCCCTTGAGTAAGAGCGAACGCTTCGACTGCACGACCTGCTGCGTCGGTCTTATTTGAGCCCAACCAAAGCTCATTATGGGCATTGAAATCACCGAGAAGAACTACCTCTGAAGCGGGGTGATTGATGTTCAGGAAGTCGATCTGGACGGCGAGGTATTCGAGTAGGTCATCCCAGTTATGGTTCGAGGGAGAGCGATAAAGGCAGCAAATAAATTTGGGTGATGTTTTGGAGTTGAGGCGAAGCCACAGAATGTCCTTCCGGTCTGATTCCAAAGAAAGATCCCTGGAGCAGGAAAGACTGCTGCGGACAAATGCCACAACTCCCCCGTTCTTTCTCAGATTGGAGTGCACCTCGTAGTTTGGGAAGCTGAGATGGTTAATCGGTGCAGTGTCTGAGATTTTTGTCTCCGCCAAGAAAAGCACGGCGGGACGATTGGATTGCAGGTAGTGATGAACAGCATCAATGTTGCTGTTGATCCCGCAGATGTTCGAAAAACAAATTTTATCTTCGATGTTGTTCCCTCGAGCCCATCCTCCA